GCAACTGGAAGGATGTACAACTATGACATACAACTACCTACTGGGGCTTTGGGGAGAAAAAAGGAAATTTAAAAGAAAAGCTGCTTGGGCCTGGCTCAGTGGCGTAGTGGTTAAGTTCGTGTACTCCGCTTCAGCAGCCTGGGGTTGGCAGGTTCGGATCCCGGCACGGACCTACTCACCACTCATCAAGCCACGCTGTGGCAGGTGTCCCACCTATAAGATAGAGGAAGATGGGCATGGATGTTAGCTCAGGGCCGGTCTTCCTCAGCAAAAGGAGGAGGATTGGCAGCAGCTGTTAGCTCATGGCTAATCTTCCTCCCCCAAAAAAAGAGAGCTTCTTCATATGTGACAAATTTAAATTTTTCTGATTTACTCTGTGTAAATTGCTTTCTACCCCTTTGAGAAACAATGAAAAAGTAATTCAGAACTGGGAAATTGAAGATTGAGTTTTATTGCCAGTAGTGCCATAATCTTAGGGAGAGGTTCATTTATCATCTACCTAGACAGAACATAGGGAGTAATGAAGCCCTAAGAATTTAAACTCCACTGATAGTTCTTTGAAGCCTTTTTAGAGTATTTAGAAGCTTAGGACTGGGCCGGCCCCGTGGCTTGGCGGTTAAGTGCGCGCGCTCTGCTGCTAGCGGCCTGGGTTCGGATCCCGGGTGCGCACCAACGCACTGCTTCTCCGGCCATGCTGAGACCGCGTCCCACATACAGCAACTAGAAGGATGTGCAGCTATGACATACAACAATCTACTGGGGCTTTGGGGGGAAAAAAATAAATAAATAAAATCTTTAAAAATAAATAAATAAAAAAAGAACCTTAGGACTGATGATTCTAGCACGAGCTAGTAGTAGAGCTCAGCAGTATTTCCTCGTTCCACTGTTAAGTCATAGACATGGAAATTGGGGAACAAAGATGTATACACTAAGGTAGAGTCTGAGGGCATTTGGTAAAATACCATCAGCATTTATTCTCTAGGAAAGTGGCAGCAGTACCATAATTTTATTTTTCCCTGACAAGCTATCTACCTTCAAGTAAATGTTAAGTCGAATTCAAAGAAAAAAGATGTGGAGGGCATCACATGAGTTTAACTTCATTTACCAACTTATCAGATAACTTAAAGACCTATTTTTGAAAATTTCCAGGATGAGCTCCTTCATAATGATTCACTTTGATTTAATTTGCTCAGAATGCCCAAAATTAGTCCAAGGTTCACAATCTTGAATGCCTTCAGGGGCTGGACACGTAAAACTGTAGAATGTGGGAAGGACTCTTGAACCTGAAGAAGATTCTACCTAATTTTTTTATTTTTTTAATGTTGTAGCCAAGCAAAACATATATGCAAGATGATCTTGGCCCAGTTCATTAGTTTATAACCTCAAGGCTATCTTTTTCTTAATTTACTGGAGACTTACAAAAGTTTTGTTTGTAAGATTTTAGATGAAACCTGAATTTCATAAGTAAATGAAATGTCTGTGTTTTGCTAGTTCTGCTGAGTGTCTCTACACATGGCACTAACAATGCAATGTGGGTAGTGAATAATTGGCACTCGACTAAAAAAACCACATATTCTCTTTTGCTTTAATTTTGACCAAGAACCTGCTTTAATATTCAAGGCTGGATACAAAATTACTGTTTAATTACCAGTTCTTTATTATAGTTCCTCTGCTAGGTTTTTTTTTTAAACCTTTTGTTGGTATTTGCTCCTTTCCAGCTAACATTATGTTTAATTTTTGAGGTCTAGTAATTCATTACAAAGCAGGAAATACTGAGTTGTAAATCTGTCTTTGATATGGGCATACTTTGGATTGTCCTTCAAGGAATGAGATAGTTTTATGTCACTCACTCGGCTTTCTCAGTTTGTGTTTAAGAATCTGCAATATGACAAATTGTGCTATATAGTGATTTTCTTTGAGTCTACAAGATGACAGTATTTCTTACCAACTGCTACCCCCCTGCTGATTTTTACCCTTTTTTGAAAATATGAAGAAAACAGGTATTTTTAATACCCGTTTGGGGTCTTTTTATTTTTAACAGAGGGTTGTTCTTTACCCACAGAACTAGAAAAACATAGAATCAGCAAAAACTAAGCTTTATAGGGCTTTTATACATAATGGAAATTTGAGCGTATAATAAGCAAACAAGTTGCCTACACATTTGGGTGAACTCAAGGACACTTTAAAAAAAGAGTGTTTCGGGATTCCCCTGACAGTGTATTTCCTCCTTATTTGTTAAGATTTGATTTCTTCTGAAATGAAAAAAAAAAATGAGGAAGAAGTAGAGAACACTGATTGGTGTTAAAAGTGAGATTAAAGTCTTAGATATTTAGATTATGAGAAAAACTGCCTCCTTTATATTATTTTCAGAGCACCTTTTTATCTCCTTCAGGTTGTACTTAATTTTTATCTGTTTTCCTAGTTGAAAATTAAAGTAGAAGGTCAGAAACCTCCCCAACCTCTCCCCTCCCACGTCATTGATCTTTTTAGCTGGTTAATGGTCTGTTTGAGATGAATTCACATGGGATGTTTCTGATAACACATGACATTCCAGGTTTTTAACCCCAGGCTTATAATTAATAATATAGAGAATTATTATTATTATTATTATTATTTAAGATTTTATTTATTTATTTTTCCCCCCAAAGCCCCAGTAGATAGTTGTATGTCATAGCTGCACATCCTTGTAGTTGCTGTATGTGGGACGCGGCCTCAGCATGGCCAGAGAAGTGGCACGTTGGTGCGCACCCGGGGTTCCGAACCCCGGCCACCAGCAACGGAGCATGAGCACTTAACCGTTAAGCCACGGGGCCGGCCGGAGAATTATTTTTGAACAGAGTGAAATCACCTGGGTTCATATCTAGTTCTGCCTTCTCTCTGCTATATAATCTTTTATATGCAAATTACCCTCTCCAGGTGTCTTCCTTATCTGTAAAAGGCAGATAATAATAATACCAAGCTTGCAGAGTAGTCAGGAGAATTAAATGTGTTAATACTTGTGAAGTGTTTAGCGTAATGTCTGGCACTAGTAAATGCTCAGTAAATACCAGCTATACAAGTGACTTCAGAAAACTTAAGGTTAGCATTTGTTGACTATTTCAACAGCCATCTATTTAATACAACATTGTTTAATGGCCTCAGCTCAGGAAACTTACATCTTCAAAATAATGCAAGTTACTTAAGGGTTTTGGTGAGATGCTAATTCTTTCATTCAGCAAAAATCTATAGAACATAACTGTTTGCCAGAACTTGTGTCAAGCACTGAGGCCACAAAACTCATCATGGTTCATAAGAGCCCAAACCTCATGGAGTTTGGATAGGAGTGCTATAAATAAATACAGTTCATGGTAAATACAAGGGGCTATGAGAGAAATAGGGTGACCTATTACTTCTTTTCTGCAAAAGATGACGTTTAAGCTGAGACTAGGATGAGAAAGTCACTAAATTTGATATGAATGATATGGCTAGTTAATGGTTAGGTGGTACATTTTTACATATGCTGATGAACACCACTTATATTGTGAATTGACCATTTAGGTCTATTGTCTTTAAAATTTTTTGGTTTTGATTTGAATGAACATTTTTAATAGAGTGTAAAGAAATAGTCTTCTGTGATTCATTTTCTGAAATATTTTACAAGTTTGTATGATTATTTTATGTTTTTGTCTTTATTTTGATGTGGTCAAATATCAATCTTTAGAAATAAGTGAAAAAAATTTTTTAATTAGAATGTCCTATCTTCACTAGACTAGATTTAATAAATTTTTACTTTTTCTAGTTTTCTGTGGCTTAATTTTTGTCTTATTTAACTATTTGATTCTTATGTAATTTTTTATTTATTTATTTATTTATTTATTTATTTATTTACTTATTTTTGGTGAGGAAGATTGGCCCTGAGCTAACATCTGTGCCCATCTTCCTCTATTTGGTATGTGAGACACTGACACAGCATGGCTTGATGAGCAGTGTATAGGTACATGCCCAGGATCTGAACCTGGGAACCCTCCAAAGTGGATCACACAAACTTAACCACTATGTCACCAGGCCAGCCCCTGATTCATATGTAATTTATTTGGTATTTGAAATGAATTTGTCAATTAAATTTTATTTTTCCCAGATAGCTAACCAGTTGTCCTAGCACCTTATAAGTTAATTTTTTTTTTTGCTGCTGCTGCTGCATTCTAATTTTTTTTTTAACTATTTAGTATATCTGTACGGTCTTCCATTAATAAGCCAATTAGTTGATTATGGACTTAAGTGTTTTCATATGGTAAGTCCAGTTCTTCCTCATTTTTTCCCATTAATTTCCTTAGCTTATTTTCATTTATTTGTTTTTCTAGGTAAACTTTAGACACATTCTGTCATGTTCCAAGAACAATCTTAGTTTTGGTTGGAATTTATAAACCTGTACATTAACTGATATTGTCGTAATTTCTGCACAGAATTAATATTACTTTAAGAACCACTTATTGAACTTCCAGTGGCCAGTGATTATTAATGAGGGATAAAGCTCACAAATATCCTTATGTTATAAAATTGTTTCATATTCAAAATGGTGCACCTAAACTTTTTTCCCTGTCAAGCTTATATTAGTTAATATTTTCTTGATATTATTTATGATGAAGTCACTCAGGATTTTTTTTTAAAACCTTGTTCTCATAATATATGTTAAGCTTTGAAATTCCTTTATTTTCCAGTTTTTCTATAATCAGGCATATTACATTTGCATTTAATTTTTATAAGTCATTAGGTTGTAAATAAAAGCAAAATTGTTCTCTTTTTTTAATATATGAAATTCTTTTTGTTATATATTAACATTTTTAGTAAATCATTGCTGTGTAATAATCTTAGGAAGTATTTAATATTAAATTTAGTTTAGAAAGTATTTGCATCATATTTTATAGTAGTATAAAATTGATGAATACCATGCAATTTGGACTTAGTCCAGAGCAATATTAATATTTTCTTGTTTTTTGTTTTTTTTTCTTCTTAATTCACAGTGATGCGGTTGACTAAGCCTACTTTATTCACCAATATTCCAGTAACATGTGAAGAGAAAGACTTACCTGGTATGGCACATGCTTGCACCTAGGGAAAAGTTGAAACCTGGATTGCCTGTATTACCTTGGAATAAGCCTATTCTTGCCAATCTTACGCTAATTCTTTGTTGCCTGTTTTGTACCATGTGAGTGGTGGCCATCTAATAGGTCTCACTCACAATCTGTAAGTCAAGATACTATTGATATCCCATGGCAACAAGAGACTTTTATTTTAGTTTAGTAAAGATACATTTATAGTCATGATACTATTAAAATTGCATTTATCCTCAAATGTTTCATCAGTGTATGTGTTAGCATTCCCTTTATTTAAAATTATTGGAGCTTTCTATGTTTTATATTTCATGACCTACATTTTTCTTTGTTTCTGAAATGTTCATTTTCTGTGAAACCAGAATTTTTTTGGCATGCATTTGTTGTATTGAAGATTAAAAATTAATTTTTTTACATGCAATTTTTTTCAAGATTATTTTTAAAAAATATTTCTCCCAGCTATTTCTTTATGTGAGTAAAACTTATTTACAAGGTAGGTGTTAGAATTTTATGTTTTTCTCTTTCTACAGGAGATCTCTTTAACCAACTCATGAGAGATGATCCTTCAACTGTAAATGGTGCAGAAATATTAATGTTGGGAGAAATGTTGACTTTACCACAGAATTTCGGGTAAGAATGCTACATTCACATAAGAAGTGCAACAATATTTTAAAGCCATTACAAATCATGTTTTCAAAAAAGAACTATAAGATGGAAAAGTGCTTACAATATATTTAAGTGGTAAAAAAAAGTTTTACCGGGGCCGGCCCGGTGGCGCAAGTGGTTAAGTGTGCGCGCTCTGCTGCGGCAGCCTGGGCTATACCGGTTTGGATCCCAGGCGCGCACCGACGCACCGCTTGGCAAGCCATGCTGTGGTGGCATCCCATATAAAGTGGAGGAAGGTGGGCATGGATGTTAGCCAGGGCCAGTCTTCCTCAGCAAAAAGAGGAGGATTGGCAGATGTTAGCTCAGGGCCAATCTTCCTCAAAAAAAAAACTTCTACCAAAATTATGCTATGTGATTCTTTTTTTTTTCTTGTTAAAAAAAAAATAAGATACATACCAAAATATTAATAGTGGCTCCTAGGGTGATGGAATTTCAACTTTCTTCTTTAGATCTTGTTATGTTTTTTAATGCCCATGTGTTCCTCTTAACTGATTTAATCTAAATGTCTTTCAGAAGCAGCGCTTTTATTCCACTTCACAGCCGTCTCCCAACATAAGTTATCTGACTTGTCAGCTAATTAGAAACTCTAAATTTTTTATTCCTTCTCTTGCTCTTAGCTATTCTCTTATTCTAGATTATTAATGAGGTAGAAGCCCCTGGTTCCACTCTGTTTGCAACTGAGAGAATTTGAGACCAAAAGAAAATTTTCAGGTTTTCTTAAAAGGTTTACAGAATGTGGTCATTGACTAGTCTTGAAAACTTGGAAATATATTCATGTAAAAAATATATTTAGGGCCGGCCCCATGGCTTAGTGGTTAAGTGCGCGTGCTCCGCTGCTGGCGGCCCAGGTTCAGATCCCGGGCGCGCACCGAAGCACCGCTTCTCTGGCCATGCTGAGGCCGCGTCCCACATACAGCAACTAGAAGGATATGCAGCTATGGCATACAACTATCTACTGGGGCTTTGGGGGCAAAAATAAATAAAATTATTAAAAATATATATATGTTTATTTATAAAATATATATAAATGTGTTTTTATATTT